AAAGAAAAAAACTAGATTTTTTAAATGCTCTCTCGAGATGTTCTTAACTTGCTCCATATTAAATTAAAAAAAAAAAAAAAAAAAAAAAAAAAAAAAAAACTTTCAAGAAAAAAAACTAATATTTAGAAGCAAGAGAAATTTTATTTTCAAGCAATGAAATCAACATTAACTATTGATTCAATCTTTCTTGAATAAGTCCAATCAAGTATGTCCTTAGACCTTCTTGTTTATAATATTATAAATAATCTTTTTAAATCTTATAAAATTTTCAAGTTTTAGTTCAAAAATAATTTATTTTATTTTGATAGAAGGTTATATATTCTAAAAAATAAAGCAAAAATATGAGTTCATTAAGTTTATTACAAATTTTTATTTTTAAGGTATTTTAAATCCAATAAGACCTTAGAATTAATCTCAAGAGGTTTTTAATGGTTTTAATTGAAAAAAGTAATTAAAAACTTTGTACAAAAATATGATATTTATTCAAGATCAAAATTTCTTTGACATCAATCTTACAAACTTTTTCAACTATATATATATATATATATATATATATATATATATATATATATCATCTCAACCATAATCTTTTGTTTCTATGAAATTATTTTTTAAATCTTTTAATCTTAAGATTTTATAGCTTTATATTTATGATAGTAGATTATTTCACTAAAATGGAGAATTTTATATGATATACAAAATCACATGAAAAGAAAAAACTAAAAGTTTCATAGAAAATATTTATTGCTATTATAGATTGTCAAAAGATATTATATTGAATAGATAGACCTAATTTGTATTAAGGTTGTGAAAAATATTTTTTAAGATATCAAAATTAGATATAAAATTATCTTTGTTTTTTCACCTTGAAATTAATAGAAAAATAAAATGAATAAATTAAGTTTTAGAACAATGTTTAAGATATACAATTAACTACCATGAAGATGATTAGACAACTCTTCTACTATTAGCAGAGTTTTTTATAACAATATGGTACATTCTTCTATTTAATAAATACTTTTTTATATTAATTATGATTATCATTTATAATTTAATACTTTTGACTTCTTAAAAGTTGATAATAAACTATTACAAAATATTTGACAAATTATTTATTAGAGCTACATGTAACAATGAAGACATAATTAAATAAAGCTTAAGAATGATAAAACATCATCATAGATGCCTATTATAAAGAAAAACTTCAATTCCATGTTGACAATAAAATATGAGTAATTTGTAATAATATCAAAACTTTTCTTTCTTATCTCAAGTTGGATTATAGTAGACTTAAATCATTTCTTAATTGTAAAAAAATTAATCCAAATGCTTATGAATAAGAATAATATCTACCAGAATCTATAAAGATCTATCAGTTGTTCTACATATCTCTTTTTGAGTCATACAAGATAGTGGATATATCAAAAAGAAGACAAATATCATCTTGTCTTATAGAATCAAGAATTTGAAGTTGATAAAGTTTTAGAGTCAAGATGATACCAAAATAGATTAGAATATCTTATATATTTGGATAGATATAATATTAATGAATGCATATGAAAGCCATCTATAAATCTTGCAAACATAGTACAGTATTGTATTATGTGGCGTTTGGCTTGAGAATGCATCGAGTACCTGGCTGTGGAAGATAAAAGCAAAAATTGCAACAACAAGCCCTTACAATCCTAACCAAACCCTAATCAAATCCTAAATAAATCTTAACCAAATCTTAGTTAAACCCTAATCAAATCCTTAAAAATCCTAAATAAACTCTAACCAAACTCTAACCAAACCCTAAACAATCCTAAAAAAATCTTAACCAAATCCTAAAAAAACTCTAAACAAATCCTAAAAAACTTTAAAAAATCCTAATCAAATCATAATCAAAACCTAAACAACCTTAAATAAACCCTAATCCTAAATCAAATCCTAATCAAATCCTAAATCCTAAATCAAATCCTAATCTAATCCTAATCCTAAATCAAACCTTAACCAAACCCTAAATCCTAAACCAAACCTTAACCAAACCTTAAATCCTAAACCAAACCTTAACCAAACCTTAAATCCTAAACCAAATCTTAAATCTTAAATCAAACTCTAACCAAATCCTAATCTTAAATCAAATCCTAACCAAACCCTAAATCTTAAATCCTAAACCAAATCCTAAATCCTAAATCAAACCCTAACCAAATCCTAAAACCTAAATCAAACCCTAGTAATTCCTACAACAAATTTAAACCTCAATTATTAATGAATGAACTATTGATCTTAACTTAAAATTTGTAAAAATTTTAACAATTAAGTTGAAAAAAAGCACAAAAATATTTGAAAAGGATCGAAATTACCGAATAGACGATAGCCTCAAAAACGTTCTTGGATATTGGCCGGCCTCCTTCTCTGATCTTGATGCCAATCTCTCAAAGCCAATATCGCTTCTTTTCACCATTCGATTGATCTCAAAATTCTCATACACATAGGAAAACAAGTCTAATATCCTCTCATACAACTTTCACTCCAATCCAACAAGTAGATTGCAAGCAATCTTGAAAATTCTTACTGGATCTAAAATTCTACTTTCTGAGACCTTGACCCACTTAAACCTCAATAACCCTCAATTCAACCCTTCGTTCAAGCGCAAATTTGCAACACATATTGAACACAACTATAAATATTTATCCACAAAATTTCACTTGTAGATCTATAACAAAACTCTTGAAATCACCCAAAATGTAAACCCTATTTTATTTCACAAAACCCAAGTCATCTGAAACAAACCTTGGCTTTGCAAAGCTCTTACAAAGTCAATGCAAATCCAAATCACCCAAAACCAATGCTCATTGAAATCCTATTAAGTTTGTTCTCTAACTCCACTCTTCAATTTGCAAAAGAGTCTTGAAATTGTCATAGGAGCTCAATTTTGTGCCTTGGGGTATGATTTCGACCCTGGTTCATAACCGGCCTTCTTCGGGTATCAATAACTAGTTTCTCTAAATAATTTTTGCTATAATTTACTCTTAACTTCCTCCTAAAGATGCTTATATCATTTATTTTTCCAATCTACTTTGTTTTGTCTTATTTATGGCCCTACAATGTAAGTAGAAGTCACTTTTCTAAAAAGGCAGCATTACTACTAAAAGTTTTACTACCTCCCTATCTTTTATCTATATTTTTCTACTTTATCTTTTAACTTGGCTCTTCTATAATAAGTTCCATATTATCATCTTTCACCATATAGTCGTATTACAACATGACAATGGGAGGTTAATTTTTTTTATTACTAACACCCATCAAAATTAAGATGAAGAATCAAGAACTTTCTTCCTATAAAAAAAAAGGAGAATGTTTTATTTAAAAAAAGTTATGATGGCCTTAATAATGATCGAATATGAGATTGGTCTTCTTCTAATATAAAATACTATTAATGGTTAAAAAGACATATTAACTATCTTTTAAGATAGCAAAGATTTGGATATGTGACAAATATAATTTCTTGCATCTTGAATTTCTTCAATATGTGATAATTTTTCTTTGTAGAATTTGTTCTTAAAAAAGAGATGAAAGGAGGAAAGATGTTACAAACATATATATTACTTCAATAATTATCTAGATAATATGAATAAGAAGTAGGTTAAAATAAATAAATTTGATAATATCTTGTAGAAATTTTCTTAAACACTTCTTTGATATGGCTTTTTTTTAATATGTGTAGAAACTTGGCCAACAAATTAGCCATTTGTCGCACATGTTGGTAATTGTAATAGAAGTTGGACATTTGGCACACATAAAAGAAGCTTATCTTGAAAATTAAATACATATCTTAGAAATCAGACATGTGTTGGAGATCTTGTAAAATGTTTCCACATAATTTCTAGCTAGTCAATATATTTAGAAATTATAGTAAGGTCTTTCTTATTCTTATCAAGTCATTTTTTGCTTCTACTCTAATTTCAAGAGCTTCTAATTTTCTAATCTTTGATAATAACCATTCCAATTTCTTTTTGAATATACATATTTACTTATTTTATTTTTTTCATCTTTCTTTGAAAAAAATCTAACTTGTTTATTTATATTCTTTGAGTTCTTGTCTTTGATAACATGGATGTCAATAATGTGATATTCTAATAAGACAATAACTCAAGGCAACCTTTTGAAAAGATAAAGAAGTACTTTGAGAAACTTGACTTGTAAGCACTCCAATATCAAATATAATCTGCAAACTTCAACTCAATAGAACATATGTGGAAGCATGTCAAACATTGTTTGTATGCTTGGCTAATGAAGCCATTTAGGATTTTAGAATTGTAAGAGAAGGTAGAAGAAAAGTTGAAAGAAATCAATAAAGAGGTCATTTCTCACCTTATAGATAGCATATGGCATTGTAAGGAGTTATTTTTTAATGCAAAAGAAGAGCCAACAAATCATTGGCTTATAAATTAAAAAATCATCTCAATATGCTCTATGTACATATTGTCTTATTATTCTTTGGTGATACAACCAATTATTGTGATACTTACACAAGACATAAAAGTGATAATATTTAGTTTATTGTTTAAATTATAGGCCATTTATTACTATAAAGAGGTTGTAAAAAGGTTAAATTTGGAATAAGTACAAATATCACAAATTTTAAGTCATATATGTATGTATGTATGTATGTATGTATATATATATATATATATATTTATTTATTCTTTTTTTAAAAAGTAAATTCTTTTAGATTTTTTAATTTAGTATTGACATGTATCATTAAACTATACAACACCTAAAAAGTTAATTGTTTGAGTAGAAAAATTCGAATATCTTCACAACTACAAAACAAAAGAGGTTTTCTAGATCACTTCCCAGTGACCATCACACCAAGATTGTGGTTACACTTTCAGTCACTTGGAAGTCAGGAACATTCAAAATTTCTATTACAAAGTACGTCTTCTTAGCTTTGATTTGCTTAACCTCCTCACTACACATCACATGGAAAAGGAACAGATCTTGAGAACAAAAACTAAATGAAACCAAGGTGAACCATTTAAGAAATCGTTTGAGTGTTTGGGGTAATATGGTTTAGTGAGGTATTAGGACAATGCCAACACTCCACCTACAAAAAATAAAAAGGGAGCCAATAACCGCCTTCAGGGAGACTTGGGTTTAATATTTGAGAATAATAAAATTGTATTCTACACTAACCTTCAGCTGATCCGTCTTTGCCAGTGTACTGATGCTCTGAAGACAAGGTAGCCATCTAAGCTTCTAAACGAAAAGGAAGCTAGGATACGCTATTTTTAAGTACACAGGCGATTGTACTTTAAAATAGCGTATCAGCTTGAATTTTTCTTATCATTGATGAACAAAATTCCAAAGAATTTTGTATACCGTAGTACGGCTCTATGCAACGAGCAAAACAGACGCAAAGTGCGGACCGGATTTATGTTGAAGTTTCTACAATACTGAGTTGCCAGTAAGTGACACTAGGCTCCAATCAAAAGCCTCACGGTCCTGGTTGTGTGAGATGCGGTTCCGGGCTTCTCTTCCCATTAAAGCAAAACCTTCCAGGACACGAGTTAGAGCAGACCACCAACCCTCTTCTGTTGCTTGGCGTTGAAGTAGTGCCTCCCGAATGCTTGTGTCATGCTGACCAACCAAGACCTGACAAGATGTTCGAATGTTAGCACCAAGTTCCAAAAGGACATGCAAAACAATCGAGAGTTTTGAAAGTGGAAGTGAAGACTTGCAATAAGCACAAGTAATCGAGCAGTCAACTGTAATGCCATTGCTGAATTTATAAGGAAGTGTTCGAGGAATTTCCTTCAAAAAAAGAAAACAAAATGTGATTTCATGAATCAGGAAAATAGGAATTGAGTCCCAAGCCTTCCAAAATGTTACGAACATGAAATTTTTAGTACGCCAGAGTCCGTAGTTGTTCATTTATTATTACGCACAAGTAGCGAAGAATGTACCTGATGTAAGGTTCTAGTAGCGTCTCGTGTAACCTCTAGAATTGTTTCCTCCCCATCTACACAAGCGGAGCTCAAGTCATTTTGGTAAGTTGTGAGACTCATGGCTAGGGCCCATTGAGCAGCTCTTGCCCATCTCGAAGTGGCCTCCCACTTTACCTTCTGAGTGGTAGCATCCTTCTCAATCTCTGCCATCCTGTCAACATCTCCTCTTGCTATTCTTTGCAAATACCTTGCATTAGCAGCTCCAGTGCTCCGTACCATACCTGGTAAAAGAAGAAATCAAATCGTTACAGGATTTGCAACGGTTGGTCGCCAAGTACACTATAATTGTTTAGATCTAGAGCTTTCATACTGCAAAATCTACCACATTTCATTAACTTACATCCAGACACGTTAAGTTTTTGCCTCTCCCTCTAGTGAAAAGAATGGGATACTTGGGGACTTCGGATTTTGAAAGCCAAAAACGAGGTCAAAACTGCGAAAAGGATGACCGAGAATGTTCTAAGCACCTGCAAACATGCTGCCTTCCTTCGTTATCAATTTCTGAGGAGTGCCCATTTCAACCACTCGTCCAGCATCAAGGACCAAAATCCGATCACTATCGATGATTGTATTCAAACGATGTGCAATGATGAGCATAGTGCAAGATTTAAACTCCTCACGAATCGTCTTCTGGATAAGAGCATCAGTTCCAACGTCAACTGCGGCAGTAGCCTCATCAAGAACCAGTATTTTTGCTCTCCGAAGGAGCGCCCGGGCAAGGCTTAGCAATTGCCTTTGTCCAACACTGAAATTCTCACCACCTTCCGAGACCTCAGCTTCTAGTCCAAGAGTATTTCTTCGCACGACATCCTTCAAATGAGCTCTCTCAAGGGATTCCCACAAATCTGCATCGGAGTGTTCATTGAAAGGGTCCAAATTGAAGCGGATTGAACCAGAAAAGAGAACAGGAGCCTGGGGAATGATGCCAAGGTTCTTGCGTAAATCGGCCAGGCCTAGTGTGCGAATATCAATACCATCGATCAGGATCTGACCACTCTCAGGTTCAACAACACGGAATAGCGTATTGAACATGCTAGATTTTCCGGCCCCAGTTCGACCAACAACACCGACTTTCTCCATTGGACGAATCTCAACTGAAACACCATGTAATACAGGCGGCAAATTGGGACGATAACGCATTACAACATTCTTGAACTCAACTTTGCCCGCAGATGGCCATCCAGGAGGTGGTCTGTGATTTTCGATCACTAGTGGAGCTTCCTGCTGTACGTCAATATAGTTCCCAACTCTTTCTACTGCATTGAAGCTGTTTTCTGCAAGACTCGCTAATCTTAAAACTGCAGTCATCAGATTAGTAATGTTCAAAGCGTAAGATAGTAGAAGACCCATTAGAGGAGCAAAAGCAGCAGGATCTCTCGCCCTCGCATTTCCAAAAACAGCCAGACTGCCTGTCAACCATATCATGAGACCTCCAAGAAACTCCAGCCTCACACCAAGCCACCGGTTCGAGCTCATTGTGACAACTGTGAATCTAGCGTTTGTGTCCATGGCCTGGCCATTCATTCTAGCCATACGATCATAAGCTTTGTATGCCCTGATGGTTGATAGACCATTCAGTGCCTCACCAAACTGGGCATATACTGGCGACCGAGTGATGGAGTCCATACGTTTCACTTCTCGTGCTGTAGCTTGAAAATACAAATAAGCCGAGTAGAAGGCTAGCAGCAAGGGTAGTATTGCCCAAAGAGATATGGTGTTTACATATCCAATCAGGAAAAATGTAGAGATAAGTGAGAACCAGGAAGTCAAGAACATGTTTGCGAACATAGCAACGTTACGATCAATGTCTCCTGTGTCTTTAGAAAACCTGTTAATTATTCGACCCACAGGATTGGCATGGAAGAAGGACATTGGGGCTCTAAGCATGGAGCCTAACATGCCATTGTGTAAACGTTGTGCAGCTGAAAGACTCGAGAACACCAGCCAGAAGGAATTTCCTAGAGTAATGCATACCTGCACAGAAATGAAATGACCACAGGGAATGAAAATCTGACTGACAGAACAGCCTAACGAAATCCAGCCTCATCATGGAAAGAAATATGTGGAAGACGGAAATGACAGTCATAGCGAGCGCGAAAGAGATTTGTGGTATAATTGAAGAAGAACGACAAGGCCCAATGCAATTGCATGCGTCACTGTCCATGGTGTAATTGATAGACCTCTTAAAAATCTAGAAAAACGTCAAGACAAAGGCGATGAACCTTATACCTGACCAAAGGAGAGACCAGAGTAAACTTGAAGATAAAACATGGGCCCATGAATTTTCGGTGTGGTAGAATCTGTCCAAATAGATAGCCACCCACTTGTGCTAAGTCGGAAGGTTTCAGTCGCTAAATAGCAAAGAAAGAGCAAGCCCACCACCCATGCGCCCCCCATGGCCGCTTTGTAACGTGAAAGAACCTTCCATGAAATGACTCCTGTTTCACGCTCTTCAGTTTTGATGAGAACAGACTTCTGCTTTATCTCTTTGTCAGCATTTTTGCGGTCATTCGCCGAGCTTGACCGACGCTTCAACGCTGGACCTTCGTGCGCCTTAGGACCTCCATTCATTTCTGTAACCAGAACAATCAGGAATATGGTACATGAAGGACAACATAACAGATTACGAGGAGTGATCAGGGACACATGCTACTCCCGTAGCTGATGGCTTTAACACATCTGCTCCACATTGAATATAAATATACAATTTATATGCATAGTCCAAGACAAAGCTGACTCACAACCTTATGAGTGCATCAGGTGCATGTTGTACAATGCCAGGCCTAAAACTATGCATGAGGTTCCTATTATGCACCTAAACTGACCTGGAGCTTATTGCACAGTTCAGATGTAATGAACGTGAAATTACAAGGAGATATAATTATCACTCCTGAGGGGAATGAACAATCAGTTCATTTAGATAATAATCATATGAATAATATGAGTTTTCACACATAATTCTAGAAAAAGACGGACAAGCCTGTTACCTCCACTGTATTCCTCTTCGCCGCTCTCATCGTCAATCGAGTCTTCCAAGCTCCCCGCTTTCTCCATCAGCTGATTAAAGAGCGGCCCGTTGGCCATCATCGATTCAAATGATCCCTGTTCTTTGATTTCACCTTGATGAATTAATATGATTTTATCCACCCGTGACAGGAAATGAAGCTGATTAGTAACCAGCACTCGCGTCTTATTCCGAAGTTCATCCTTGAGGCATGTATCAAAAACTTGTCTCGCAACGTGAGCATCCAAAGCGCTTAATGGATCATCAAAAAGGTATACATCCGCATCAGCATACACTGCTCTCGCTATAGAAACCCGCTGTTTCTGTCCACCACTAATATTAACCCCTCTTTCACCAATTTCTGTATGATCCCCTCCTGGCAACAAAGAAAGATCGCGTTGAAGACCAGCGACACGAATAGCCCGGTTGTATTTGTCAGCGTCGAAAGGAAGTCCGAAGAGTATGTTGTCCCTCACGGTTGCATTAAATATCCATGACACTTGTGGTACATATGCAACTGTGCCGCGAACAATAAAATTTCCAGTCCTTGTGGCCATCTCACCTAAAACTGCTGATAGTAGTGACGTTTTACCTTCTCCGGTACTCCCCACAATAGCCACTAAGCTGCCCACTTCAACTTCAAAGTTGATATTCGACAGAGTTGATTGCTCATTGGTAATTTCCCATGCAAATGTCCCATTTTTTACGGAAATTGCTGGTAGACCTGCCTCCAGTGGCGGATTCAAAGACAACACTCTTTCCTCGGCTAGAAGCAGCTCTTGGAGACGCTTCAGAGAAACGTTTGCATTAACAGCGGCAGTAATGAGAGTTGGAAACATGAACAGAGGGAACCGCAAAACCGCAAAAAGGGATAAAGACGTGAAAGCCTTCGCAGGCGTTAAAACGCCACCAATGTACGTGTAAAATCCAAACGCCAAGACAGTAACAAGAATAGGGACACTATTCAGACAGAAAGTGTTAATAGCTGACAATAGCTGGGCCTTTCGAAACCAGGTGATTTCATCATTCCGAATTGTGAGCACCTTTGTCTTGAAACTGTTCTCCCATGCGTAGCATTTCACAATATCCATCGCAGGGAGTATTTCATTCATAAGCCCGATCCTTTTGTCGGTCCTTTGCAGACCTTCCTTTGTCAAGTTTCGCATCTTCGTAACCATAAATGTCTGAAGAGGAATCATGACAAGAAGAACGAGGGAGCCGAAAATGGATGCAATTCCAAGCTGTAAACATGAGATTTGAATGTCAGAGCTTTCAAATTAGCAAGGCGAAGAAAAGAGAGCTAAGAGGTAGAAATTAAAGCCTGCTGCTGTATTTCAATAAAACAAAAGTCTATCCGTGCACCATATTCTTCTTCATAAATAATCAAAGAACACGTGCTAAACTCGTTCTTTTACATAACTTGAGTTAAAAGTAATCTAGTTCTTGATAATTGAACCAATCCAAGGGCAAGTATAAAAATGAAGTACAGGTAAAAACATCCTAAGCGACTGAACTTGGAATAAGAACCAATTACATCAGAAATTTTCCCTGCTGTTGAGTATCCAAATCCACAAATCAGCTCACCATCAATCACAGAATATGGCTCCGATCACAATCCATTTAACATGTTCAGATGTGAAAGTCCCCAAAAATATTTATTAAAGCGAAAGCCAAATAGACACAAGCGTACCTGTCTATATAGCAGAAAAATCGCAATAATTATTCGTAACGGAGAAGACCAAAGAGAATGAAGTTGCTGACAAATTTGTTGTAGAGCCTCTGCATCAGTTGTCATTAAATTTGTGATTTTCCCTGCAGTGAAGCCCTTTCTACCAGCTTGTGTCAAACGTAACGACTTACGAAAGACAGCTGCAACTAAAGTCGACCTTGTGCGCATACCAACTCTCATCACATTCTGAAAGTATTGCCCTTCACAAACCACACCCAGTAAAACACCAACGAAGATCGACGCTGCATAGGCATACCCATGCCATACAGGTTCCCGGTTCTGCAGCGATTCCAAAAGCAAACCTAAAAAGACTGGACCTACGAACTGAGCTGCATCATTTCCTATTTTAAATATTCCCCCAAGCCAGAACCGTGCCCCCAAAGCCTTATTCAATGATCTCAACAACCAAGGATTTGGTTTAGCGCGTTCCTCCTCCCATGCTTTTTGAAAATCACGGTAGAGCTGTTCAGTCATATCCCAACTATCAAGCAGCCAAACGTCTTTATCAGTGAGAGGTCTCTGATAACCCAGCTTCATGAGAGGTGACATCCACCCGAACAGAAGAAACGTGAATATGCTGGCCTTTCTCTCAGGACACACCTCCCGTTCTCCCGCAAGAGGCTCATACACACCACCATCCACTTGCGAGTCCTCAGCGTCAATTGGAGAGTAGCCAGTTTGAGGCACCAGATTTGGGAAGTGCAAGAGGTAATATATACTTAAGAGAGCGGATGCAACATACTGGCATATGGCAACCTGCAGTGCAGTCTTCATATAGAAGTTTTTCAGTGCTAAAGTAAATTGCAGCATTGTAGTTTGAGCTACAACCAAATACAAAATTGCGAATCGCACATACCACACAAGGGTTTTTGTGTAGCTTTTCAACTCAAAACCAAGCATCACCAAAATAGTGATCCAAGTTAAGCTGGTCAACGTGAGGGTTGTAATCTGCAAGCATTACAACAAACGATAAGTTGACCAAATATGTGTAACCGTCCACATGAACATACGATTCTTTGTGGCTAATCTGTTTTTTCTTGCGAAGCTAAGCACAAACAAGTAATGAGCAGTACCTCAAAAGGTGGCATGGAACTCTCTCCATCCAGGTTGACAGTCGAGATTCCGAACATAATTTGAGTAATTGGAGCCACGGCACAGAAGAAAGACAAGAGAAATCCGGGGCAGTAGCGCCATGGGTTGCTGACCTTGAATCGCTCAAGAGAAACGCCATAGACTAGAGCCCGAATGCGATGAATCGTGAAGATGAGTAGCACAACAGAAGACAGGTTAATAATAATACTGTTTACAAGACAAGGCGTGTAAGCTCCGAAGCCACTCGGCAACTTGTTGGCCCAGACTCCTGACTCTAGAGGCCTGCAAAAGGATGTGAGCAAGGCCTCTCCCATGGTTGCGTTTCTGGGGACTCACAGCGCAGCAAATGCTACCTCATCTTCGCTGCATTGCATCTACTCATTTAGGTCGAATGAGTCACGGAAGATTCTGTGCGCGGGAAAAATACGCAGATATACTTCCTACAGCAATAAAAACAAGTAAGCGGTGATGTGATCGCCCTAGAGAAGACACAAAGGAGTTTGAGCTGTGTAAATGGACAATAGCACTGCTTTGTAGCAGCCTGAAATCGATAACTCCTCTTTACTGTAAGAGCATTACAGCATCGACACGTCGAAATTATCCTTCGGACATCTTAGTTTCCAAACCGATGAATCATGGGCAAGCCGATCACTTAGTGGATACGAAAAGACTGACGGCAAGTGTGACCAGAGGCTGAAAGATTGAGAGTTTCTTCGCACACAAATTGACCTCGCAGATGGGTTCTGGATCTGAGGATGGACAGTACCTTCGACGTCGCTTGCTGACAAAACTCCAAAACAAGTTTTAAAAAAACAAACCATCTCTTTTCAAACAAAATGATCCCCCTGCCCACCCTCCCCTGTCAATCACGAAAACCACTATGCTATTAGGGACTTCCAAAGAAGTTCCTTTGAAGGCCCTCGATTGATCTGCCAGTACGCCAGAACCTCTTAAATGAGCGGCAGTGGGAAACCACTATTCACTTCCGCAAATACGCACTTCATAAATAGCAAAGAGCCAGAATCTGACAACTAAGGCCATGGGAGCTCCCTTCGCAGAGTCACTTTCGTTACGTCCAGTAGCTGTTCATTTGTAAAGCTTAAACATGTATAACGAACTCGGCGTCAACACCAGATGATGCAAAGGAAGCTTCCCTTGACCTTTGATAGAAAACCTGGCGATCATTGGATGAGATGTCGTACAATCTGGTCAGTCACGCCAGCTCCAATCCAGATATATATTTTTGAAGTCTCACTCACTTGAGATGAAAAAGTTCGATACTCTGCAACCAAGAATTCATTCTTTCACCAGAGAGAGGCATGAGCAGAAAGTGCAGAAGAAGTTCCGACCTGAACCACATGTCTTATGTGCAATGCCTCAGATGAAGCCTCGAATTCATGAATCAAGCACATTGTTTATGTTGATCATGAGATTGCAACACCAGGCTATGAAATGCTTTGCGCTGCTCATGCAAAAGAACTAATTACCGTTCGCCAAAAATAACAGTGTCGACGAGCGTGCGCTGGACTGAAGACTGTCAACCTAAACTCTGTAGCTTTATTGTTCCCCTGATGAATAGCAGTGAATGCAAGAGGTCGATCCCAGTGTCTATTGACTGAATGCAGCTGTGATTCAACCTGCTGAAGTTGTCGGCGTGCAGTTCATTGAAACCCTAAACCAAAACTACGTGAATACTCAAGAGCGGCGACCATGCGTCTAACGTTCGATCTGGATGAAGAGTTTGCCCTTCGCAATTGATCTCTTGCTATCGTCTTCCGCAAAAGCGCACAATCTGAGGCCAAGTTCTAATCAAGTGAGCCTTCACAAACCTTGGACAAAGTTACACGTTCTACTCAAGCAACCGCGATTTAATTTCAGGAGGTACGACATCCATAGTCCAGACGTGGTTTTGCACTGAATGATGGTCACATAACCGGAAACTACAATAAAAAGCTGCTCGCATCAGCACCTCAACTACAAACAATGCTGCGTGATCTGCTTCTGAATTCCACCACCTCCACCTTACACAAAGCCTCCTCTGCGGAATATATAAAACTGACATCAGAAAACTACCAGACAGAACCGAAGTTGGCTGCTCAACTTCTGATGTCCTTCCTTGCATCTCCTACATCGTCACGAAGATCATCGAATGCTCCGGACGTCAACTGCAATGTGGAAATATGCTGCAAGTCGGCCTGCCACTCGAGTTTCCATAGCCATCTCGATCAGGAAGAAACCCTACCGCCTTTCACGGTGGCACCATCTCCATTTGGATGGTAACAAAAACGGACACAGGGGTTCACCGGTTACCCTTCTCCGTTCTGTAGAGGTTTGCTTGGACACTTCGTTGGACACCGTCTTGTAGCATAATTGTTCACTAATTCTTCTGCATATAAAGATATGACCTTTGGAGCATAACTATTACAGTATTTCGATTTGATGCATTCTGGAACAGTACATGCATTTATATTGAACACATCCTAAGATTAAGTGCATTCCAAGTGGACCTGCAGGAACTTCACAGAATGTCACATCCTGAGAATGAATTGATCTCCTTGTCAAATTAGTTTCGACTTCAATTCCTCAACTAACTAGGTGAATTAACTCGCTTCCACACCTTCACTCCCTGCAATCACTGGTATCATCAATGAGAACATATTTGCGGAGAGTTAAACCCTGGGAAGTCTTGTTTTGATTCTCCGTTAAACCATGCATTTTTCGATATAGTATTACTCTCAAAAGTGTGAAGGGATTGCTGAGGATAGACTCTTGAGAGCAACCCTTTCCTCTTGCTGTTTGATCGGCCTTGGTGTGCCTGAAGAACTGCCTTTTTCATCTAAAAGATACCCTTTCTAAAATCGTGGCAGTCTGCAGCTAAATACAGCTATGGCATACCTGTGACATAAGCAATGTTGGATCTACTTCACATTTTTGGGCATCTTGCAGTTGCAATTGTCCTGGCCGAGGGAAAATATCGTGATTGCAGCCTGCCCGTCTACTGATACTGGCCAGCCAGTTTGACGTTGACAGATCCGAAGAAAGTCTACGTAAAATGTTCCCCACTGCCTATTCAGATGACGTGATAGTATGGTTGGGTTCTGTTAGTCAAAGCTCAGCAGTTGCAGTTGCCATGAGCATTGACGTTACGGCTTAGCGTCACTTGCACATCTTACATTTGAAAACGATTGGTCAGATCTACAAGGTGCAAAATTGACTGGTTGTTGCAAACTTCTGTCAAATTATGATGTGCTCTTGACAAGCATTAAGAAACCATGTTTGTGTTACTACCAGGATGTGCCTTCTTGCAAGTTATGGGTTCTTTCCCAAGAGAATATTGTGCATGAAGCCTTGTGGGGAACATTCTCCAGTCCCTTCATGAAACCAAGTTTGTCTTAAACGGTTCAAACCTCTTGACAGTAACACTGAACCCACGTGTTGTTGATCTCGCTTCTATTGATTCTTTTGTCGTTGAGTTTCCAACAAATGGGGAGATCTTTCATGACTACTATGATTGTTGCAATTTCAATATTAGTTTGCACATTTGACACGTTCATTCATTTACAATTTCATGTATTACCGTAAGAATTTGAGTAGCAAATGTATTACTCACCTTCCTATCTAGATTGTGCTGGATAGGAGGGAATTTTTTTTTAAAGTATAAATAACATAATCAGCTCCGAGGATGACATGTTGTCCTGCCTATGTAGCATAGTGGTAGTGCATTCCCTTTCCTTTAGTAGAGCCCTTGCTTAGGATTTTCTTTTTATGTTGGTCAATGATTTTTGCTTTCATGTGGTTGTAGCAATGGTTGGGAGACATGTGCAACGTAAATATCTGCATGGGCATTTATTGAGTCACTTTGGTTAAGTGGTTAAAGCATGTGTTGGTGTGGTGTGGTAACACAACTATATAGTAAAAGAAGAAAGCAAAGATTATATTATAAAAGAGCTTAAATGAAAATACTTTAGCAAATTATTTTAGAAACATAGATAATAGACAAAGAAGTAGGAAAAATTAATAAATGCTAATACTACTTTCTTGAAGAAGAGACTTCTATTTACTTTAAAGTAGCATAAGTGAACCAAATCAAAATAAATAAGATAAATAATTGATATGTATATTTTTAAAAAGAGATTAAGAATAGATTTTAGCAAAAATTACATCAAAATATGAAAAATTGATACTTGAAGAAAATTGGTTGTGAACCAAGGTTGAAATCCCAAGGTACAAATCTACACAAAAATGGCAACTTTAAAGTTCCTTGGTTGATCAAAGAGTAAATTTTTGAGAGCAAATTTATAAAAAGATTTTTTAATATTAATTTTATGTAATATGAAGGTATATTAAGGTTTTAAGAGCTCTTCAAATTAAAAGGTGTATTCAATGGATTTGGATTTTAAGAAATAAAAAGAAGTTCACAAAATTAATGATTTTGTAAGTATTGTAGCATATTCACAAGTAAAAATTTGTGAATTTGTCATTGTGGTTGTTTTAAATGTATGTGGAAAATTTGATGTCAATTGATTAATTAGATTAAATATTGTGAGAGTTTTTATAGATTATGATCTTAAATAATTAAAATATAGAATTACCAAGAGTTTTTCTGATTTTACACCATCTGATAGTTCAATTAAAGAAAAAAATTGTAAAAGCTATTTAGACTAAGGAATCTATATATTAATCAAATTTTCAAGAAATTGAATAATTTAGAAAGAAAAATTGTTGTTGAAAGATCAACATTCAAGTTAGAGATGAAAGGTGGCAAACATCTAAAAGGTTTTGACAGCTTTTCTTTCAATTGGTAAATTTGATTCTTTTCAAATTTTTTATTCTTATTAGTTTCTTGTAGATTGAAATTTGAATGAAATTCTAATAAAGATTAATAATTTATTTAGTATTTATTAAGGTTTTAAAATAATTATAATAATTAATTAATATTTATTTTAAATTTTATTAGGATTTGGTTAGGATTTGGTTAGGATTTCATTAAGATTTTATTAGAATTTGGTCTAGGATTTAACAAAGATTTGATTATAATTTAATTAAGATTTATTTAGAATTTTTATTTTTAGTATTTTTTTTGGATTCTTTATTATTTCTTTAAAGATTTTTATTTTTAATATTTTTCTAAGGATTTTATTTTTATATTCTTTAATATTTCTTTATATTTTTTTTAAGTTTAATTTATGACTTCTTTATATTTCTTTTATAATTTTATTTTAAAAAAAATTAGATTAGATAAAATTTTATTAGAGTTTTTGAGGATTATTTAAAATTTAATTAAAATTCTATTAGACTTGATAGAATCTTATTGTTGTATTATCTATATATATTTTTTTAAAACTAGGTGTGTAGTGCATTTTAAAGCAAGAATTCACATTATATGATACTAATATATGATTGGAGATTTGAAAATTATAAAAGGTGCAAGGATATTAGATCCAAATTCTTTGGGTCCTCTCATAGTAATTGATTCTTTAGAAGTAATGTAGTATGATTGTCAAAATTATATTATACATTTCTTGGAGAGCATAATGCACTATTTTCTATCTATTTTTGAGTAGTATAGAGTAGATTCAAGTAACTAACAAAGTTAGAGCATAGATTAGTAACAACAATATTGTATATAATCTTGATGTGGGATTGATGAATCATAGTATAAAATATTATAATTCCAAAGAGAATGCCAACACACCTAGATATCTATTACATAGCCACAACATAAAAATACAACTAAGTATATATTATTTAGATAGAAGGAACTCAAATCATATTAAAGGCATCATTTAGACTTAGAGAGCAGTTATCTCAATACCAACAAGAATAGGTATAACAAAGGAGTATAAAGGAAGAGTCAACAACAAACAAAAAATAAGCCTAAATTCTACTTCTAATCATGCAACAACTACAAAAGAGAATTCACTTCTCACTATTAGTATTAGTATATTAATATCAAATACCAATCTTCCATAAGCTATGGAAAATCCCATCAACATTGACCACTATGTCTAACCAAATGATACATATAATACAGATTCTAAATTATTTTTAAAAAAAAATTATTAATTGAGATATTTTTCAATTATTTTAGAAATAAGTACAAACACATTACAAAAAGAGAGAAGATCTTATAACCAAATACAATAATTTAGGCATCACACATAAACTACCAAAGATGGAAGACATTGCAATGCTCATCAGGTGGATGTGATCAAATCTTTTTTGATTTCTTTCAAATTGTTACCTTGACCTTGTAGAGCTTCAAAATTCAATTATAGATGTGACATCCATTCAATTTCTATCCTTAGAATAAGCACAAACTACCTCACATCTTGATCCAAAACCATTAAGACTAATTAATATCAATATCCCACAAGTCATAACACAAAAATATCAATAAAAGATGATAGAGCTCAATAACTTCATAGTATTGAGATTGATCATGGATCACAATCTATAGATTAAAAAACTTACTACCTAGACTTGTACCACACTATATCATATCTTTAAGTACCTAACTATCTAAAAATAATAATTATGTTAAGATTCAGTTTATCTACTGAGAAGGTGTCAAATAAATCCTAATAAGTTATAATTATAAGTTTAATAACAAAGAGATGTGATTCTATCTCCGGACACCTTACTATGAATTAGATCCATTTGCTATTTACAAATATCAAAAAATGACATAATAGGTCCAAATTTTGGGCTTATTCTATGCACTTAAGATCAAAGAATTTGTCCACACCATTCTAGAGCAAATCTTTGATATTTTGAAGGTAGAAAATATCAAACTATATAGAGCCAAGTACTCAAGACTTTGAGCTTGTATACTTGTAAATAATATCAATTCTCTATCAAAGTCCATTTGCATCTCTAGACTCAATATGAAAGATCCTACTAAACAAAAATAAACTCTAGCATTCAACAACTTTATTGTCCAATGTAGCCACTGCCAATTATATGAATTTAATATCAATGAATGTGCTTTGATTCAAAGATCAACAAAAGATCAAATTGGCTCCAAGGATTAAAAGCAAATCAAGTAAATCTCAAATATAGACTCAATCTCATAAAGCAACAATATAAGTGATAGTCATAATGCTAACAACAAACTCAAAGACAATGCAAGAACTCATATCTTATAATTCAAGAAATACTTACCATTAGGTCATCACATATCTTTAGGTTTTATTTGGCAAATTATTAAATATAATGTGTAGGATAAGGTAATAGATTCAATATATAAAAGTACCATACCATATCAAATA